CGCCGTTTCACCACCACGGAACGGAAAACCGCAGCAAGGACATCCGTGATCGTCATCGTCAGCATGCTTGGTCAGGGTGTTCAGACAGATGGTTTCACCAAGGGCGAGATTGACGCATTTGGGGTAGGAATTTGACCTTCGATTGGTTTCCTAGGTCATGGGTGATTGGGCTCGTATCTTCGAATCTCCTATTTTTCATATGTCAGTAAAGTGCTACTTTTCCTTTTTAGCCTAACCTAAAAATCGGGAAGTCGACAAAAACGAATTTATCGTAATACTTTTCCCTTGTGATCTTCGTATAATTTAATAAACGAGAAACAAAGATTTAGAAGTCGATTTCGAGTTGAAACGATCAAATTCCCGTAAAGGGGTAAGAATAGCTCGTTAAATGATTGGAACGTAAAGTTGTAAGTTGGATGTTGAACCTGGCGTTGTTCACGAAGCTGCCCAATTCCCAGAACGCGACTTACCAGTGAACGATTTCGTTTGCCTCCCACCACGTGGTCGGTTGTTACGCGAAACACCTGGTTCCTTGTCGGCGGACGTAACGGGACAGGCCCGAAAACGGGTTCCGTACGGTTCCTTGTGACGCGACGTAACGTTACGAGATAGATCAAGGTCACTACCTTGCCCGTCGCACGCGAAGCCCAATTAGACGTACCGCTGTTATTCTTGTCTTTCGTGGCCTCGACCCTGCTACTCATCGCGAATTAAAGGACCACCGAACAAATCGCTGTATCTCCAAACATTTCGTCGTAAATATCAATTTTACATTTTGAACTGTCAACGATTCGTTGGTATTGAATATCGGTGCCAGAAAATATTTATTTTATAGAAACGATGAATTCGATCTACATACGGGGCACTCGTACAAAATTGTATACTTAAGGTTTTAAATCTAACATCTTTGGATTTGTGAAACAAGTTGTGTAATAAAATTGTCTTTATTAATTGCATTAGGTATATCATATCATGCGTACATAAAGTAACAAAAATAGAATTCAAAAGTTCAAACGTAATGGTCGTTTCAACTATAAGGCAAAAGATCTTTTTTTCTCGATTTTGGTATTTGCCAAATAAGTGGCTGGATTAGTTTAGGACGTATTAGGAAGGACATTTCAAAAAGATAGATTTAACGAAATCGTTAAGGCCTCTTGTCGACTAACGGTGTTCCCTATCCCTATGAGGTGCCGAATTAAGCGGTTGCGGTACTGTTATGTTTACCAACGGTCGTTAGATGCCAGGCGAGACCGTTTTCGGTGAGACACGTATCGGTCGAAAGAATTTATGTTAATCAATTTCATCAGCGGAAAAAGTTCCGGAGAATGTTTAGCCTATCTTCGAAGCTTTGAAAATTGAAAGATCATCGCGGCACTATATTAGGTTTTCTAATTTAAATTTCCGTGTAAAGTGTAAACGATTGACTGTCAATGGTTTCTTCTTTGAAACGACACGTAGGTAATGGAAGAAGTTCTATGTTCCACGAGCAACATTCTTATTTCTGCAGACTTCGTGATACGATATGCCGCGACAGAAAACGTGTTCGTGTACAAAGACACCGGATCGCAGCAATTCTTTTATACACAAAGCGATTCAACGACAGAAAAATTACTTTAATCATTTCCATGGAATACACTGCCGCTCCCGTAAGTATTAGAATACCTGCTGGTTCAACAGGAAATGCGATACATAATCTACTTAGATTATTAGAAGAAGAGGTGAACCCATTAGAATTTTATATTTATCATTTCAGCTTATTAAAGAACGTGCATGTAGGGTGTCTCGATTTTGATGGTACAAGCAAGGCGGGAGTGATTCTACATAAAA